ATTGCGATGGGATAGACAAAGGTAAACAACCCAAATGAAAAATGGACACAGGATATGAACAGACACTTCATCACAGAAGACATTCAGATGGCAAACAAACACATAAAGAAATGTTCAAAGAGAGATGCCAATCAAAACTATAAGATATGAATAAGAATAGCAAAATTTAACAGAACAGCAAACCACAAATGCTGGAAGGCTGCAGAGAAACTGTTGGTGGCTGTGTAAAATGGTGCGACCACTATGGAAGGCAGTATGGCACTTTCTCAAAAAGTTGGAAATAAAAATACCATTGGACTCAGCAACTCCACTACCAGGAATATACCCTAAAGAAACAAGAACTGCCACTCAAGCAGATATATGCACACCTATGTTTACTGCTGCTTTGTTCACAATGGCAAAGAGTTGGAAACAATCTAAGTGCTCATGAACAAATGAATGGATATAGAAGCTGTGGTATATTCAAACAATGGAATACTATTCTGCACTGAAAAACAAGGAACTCATGAATTATACAAAATGGGTGACCCTGGAGGACATTATGCTGAGTGAAATATCTCAGTCACAAAAGGACAAATACTGCATAGTGCCATTGGCAGGACTGACATCAAGGTTGGGGGGAAACTAAGAAAAGATGAATAAATAATGTACACTGCATTGAAATAGATGAGGGAGAGAACTGTTTAGGAGGAATATATGATTAGATATTATTGTCATAAAAAGAGTCCAGAATGAAAGCTGCATAGTGAAGTGGACTGGTGGGGAGAAGAGGATTGTGTAACAATGAAAAATTTTTTTTCTTACTTTTCAAAGAGAAAAGCAAACTGGGGCGGGGGGCAGGGAGAAAAGTGCAACAATGACTGAATGGAAATGCAGTCTCTGTAAACTTTCATTAAAATTAATGAAAAAAAACTAATTAAAAAGGTATGCATTGCTATCTTTATAGCAGTAACACATTTCTTTAGTGTGGTTGTTAGGTGCTGTCAGGTTGAGTATGACTCATAATGATCCTGTGAACAATAGACCTTGTCCTGTGTTGTGCCATCTTCATCAGTTCTGACACACTTGGCCCAATGCTGTAGTTACTGTGTCTATCCATTTCATCGAGGGTCTTCTTTTCTTTCGCTGACCTTCCACCATTCCAAGCATGATATCTTCTTCCAAGGAATAAATTCTCTTAGCAACATGACCAAAGGATGAGAGACAAAGCTTCACCATCTTTGCCTCAAGGAGCACTCTGGATGCACTTTATCCAAGACATACTTGTTTATTCTTTTGGCAGTCCATGGGATATTCAGTACTCTCCTCTTACAACTCAAATGCATCAATTCTTCTGTCATCCTTATGCACTGTTCAGCTCTCAGCTGCATAGCAAGCAACTGAAAAGACCATGACCTGAATCAAGAACACCTTAGTCTTCAGACTGACATCATTGCTCTGTAGTATTTTGAAGATATCCCTGATAGCAGACTTGCCCAATACAATAAATCTCCTCCTCTCCTGATTGTTGGTAATAAGGGTGTTAATTGTGGATCCAAGCAAGATTAAATCATTGACAACTTCACTTCTTCCATTTTCATGATGGCCCAATGGTGAGAACTGGTGTCTTACTGATGTTGAGATGTAATCTGCATCGAAGGCTGCATTCCTTAATCTTCTGCCACAAGTGTTTCAAGTTCTCACTTTCAGCAAAGTTGTGTCATCTGAGGAACATAGGCTGCTGCTGTGTCTTCCTCCAAACCCTCCTCTTCATAGAGTCTAGTTTTGCAAATTATTTGCTCAGCAATCTTTCTGATTTTAAATTACACAGTGTTTCCTTGCTCTGTTCAGACAATGGCTTCTTGGTCTAGGTATAGATTTCACATGAGCACAATTACTATTCTGGGATTCCCATTCTTCTCAATATTAGCTATAGTTTGTTATGATCCATGTAAATGCCTTTCCATAGTCAATAAAAGAAAGATACACGTTTTCCTAATGTTCTCTGTTTTCAGCCAGAATCCATCTGACATCAGTAGTGATGCCTGGTGTTAGGGCATCTTCTAAACCCCACTTGAACTTCTGGCTGTTCCTTGTGAGTATACTATTATAGTTGCTTTTGGAAGACCTTCAACAATATGTGATATGAATGATATTTTTCAGTCTTCTCCACATTCTGTTGGATCCTTTTTCTTGGGAATGGGAACAAATGGATTTCTTCCATTCAATTAGCCAAACAGCTGTCCTTCAAATTTCCTGGTACATACTGGTAAGTCTGTCGTCCATCCTGGGTTGCATCTGTTATTTGGAACATGTCAATTGGTGTCTTGTCAGTTTCTAGAGCCTTCAATGCATCTTGAACCTCTTCCTTCACTGATATTTGCTCTTGTTCATATTAAACTTCCTGGAATTTTTCAGTGTCAATTAATTCTTTTTGGTACAGTTGACTGTATTCTTCTTCTCTTCTTCTGATGCTTCATGGGTGAACAACGATCTTGCCAATAGCAGCTCTCAGTATTGCAACTTGAGGCTTTGCTTTGGTTTTCAGTTCTTTCAGCTTGAGAAATGCTGAGCAAATTATTCCCTGACTCCAGATCTTTGCACATTCCAATAAAACATTTTGTTTGGTCTTCTCAAGCTGCCTTTTGAAATATTCAGTTCAGCTCTTTCACCTGTTGGATCAAATCTTAGAAACAATATTACTTCAACATGTCTGTAAAGAAGAACTAGGCTGATTTAGCTTTTGTTTGTATCATTGTTGAGTCAGCTCTGACTCATGGTGACTGTCTGTATAAAAGAATGGAATACTGTCCAGTTCTGTGACAGCTTCAAGATGTGTGCTGTGTTTGAGTGCACTGCTACAGTTATGCAGCTAAGATGAAGTGTAATATTAATGTGTTAGGCCAACCAGCTCTAGAATATTTAGAATATACTTTTGAAGAAATATTTAGAGTTTTAAAACACTATTAAAGAAACTTTTAAGGACTTTTGAGAATGACTTTTCTATCCATTGCATTAACTTCTACTCCTCACCCCAGGGTGTGGTCTCCAGCTGCCTCAACTGTGGGCACATAGTTAATTAGCAGCACCTTCAACATTATCAGGAAGGCTAACATGAGAGAGAGAGAGAGAGAGAGAGAGAGAGAGAGAGAGAGAGAGAACACTAGACTGTCGAGAGACTGGCAAAGCACAGCCTGATGGGGTCAGAGTGAGCTAGGGTCACAGTTCTTGCGAAAAAAAGCCTCAACCTCGGAAAGAAGGATCAGAGAAAGGACCAGACATCCTTCTGAGCCAGAGGTTCCCATGTCAGAAATATCTTGCTGTTGATAGAGAAACTACGTGGATTGATGGAGAGACTGTCTTGCTGCTGACTAAAAAGCTGTCTGAACTAATTGAGGATAGTTATCTGTTTTGTTGTTAGCCTGGATTGGGACTGCTTTTTGCTGAACCTGGACTTTCACTGCAGTGATATCCTTTCCCTTCCCCATAACCTGTTTCTCTAATAAACCCCACAGCTATGGGCAAACAGAGATTCTGTAGCGTGTTCATGGTCAATTGTAACAAATTTCAGACCCAGTAGTTGGTAGACGTAGGTGCAGCACAGTAGAGAGTTGTGTCTGACCTTAAAAGGATCAGTTTTATACTGTGGATGTTTTTGATGGGGACAGTTTCCCTCTGTGGATAGAGGTCAGACCCAGCCATCCTACTTTGCCATTACTCTTTTTATACAAGAAAAAAAATGTGATATTGCAATTTCTGGAAGATAATTTACAAAAGAGAAAACGAAAATATTTTATTATTTTTTTCTTTTATTTTTATAATTGCTGTCTGGGTTCACGTTTTGCCAAGTTCACGCAATAACTATGAACATGAACTCTTTCTCTTCTCTCCCAACACTAGCTTCTTCCAGACTGCTCTCACCTGCAGCACATCCGTCATTAGAGGCTCTAACGCACAGAGCCATCCGTGACTTCCTTATCTACTGTTTCTACTCAGACATGTGTTCGAGTCCCCCAGTCCTAGGTAGTCTTGTCACTCTGATTCTATTTAAGCTTTTGAATTGTGATGACAGAGAAAGTCAAGTCGACTCAGTGGGACAACCTTGACACTGGAGTCAGACTAACTTGACTTTCCTCCCTTCCACTTACCAGGTATGTGGTATCATGCCTACCTTCCTGGGCCTTTGTTTTCTCCTATGTAAATTGGGAAATCATACCTGCTTTTCATGGTCACTTTGAAAAGTGACAGAGATAATTTATTTAAAGTGCTAGCACAATGTCTAATATAAATTAGAACATAAGAAATATTAGTTTGCTTCCCTATCTGAAACTGGTTTGGCTAGTCTTCAAATGGGGTTACCAGCCAAGGAAGTATTTTGTAACTGACTGCTGGCTACAATCTCTTGATGTTTGGAATATTTCCATTTATTTGTTAACAAATTAATTTTGCTAAAATCAGATTTCATGTTCTCATGATCTTGATTTAACAACTGCCAATGATTACTTATTGGCTTCAGGAAGATGTACAAACTCCTTTGTCTTACTGCCAAGATACTCTTTCCTCTGAGTAGATTTTAATTTCTCTGTAAAAATCAAAAACATTGCCTAAGGTATGTACTCCAAATCTAGTATTTCAAAATCTTTTGAAAAGTGAGGAATTATCTAAAAATCTCAACTGAATCTTACATAACACCATTTGTTGTATTTTCTTTCAGTACCTTAAACTGTCAGTCTATTGATGTTAACAATACAAAAAAAAATCTAGTTTGTTCTTCTGAAATACAGCTTTTTAGCTGAGATGTCTTCATTATACTCACTTAAACCTTGACTCTAAATATTGTTGTTGGTGGTGGTGGTCGTAGCAAATACTAATTATAGAGCGTTATTGTCACAGTCATTAATAATTAACCACAATTGAAATGCAAAACAGTTAAGATTCTCTTAAAATTTTAAGATAAATAAAAATTTAGACATTCCCTTATAATGCTTAGTTGCTAACAACAAAATATAATTTTCTTTTACCTAGTACTTCCTTTTGCAAATCATAGCATCTAGTTTGCAAGTTCACTTCCTGTGGATTTGACGTCTGAGTCTGCTGAGATCTCCATGTGGCTGCATCTGACGACAATTTCACACTTTTCAATTCTTCTTCAAGCCATACCTTAGTTTTCTGGGAAATTGTCAAACTTTTATTCAGTCCAGCTATTTCTGCAAAGGAAAATCCAAGTTTGCAAATATATATTACCAAATTATAAAATATTCCCCCAAAACTTCTGATGTTTCTTTTGTAAAATTAATAGGTAAAAGTCAATATGACTTTATCATGAGCATAATGGCATATAACCAAAAGGTTAAATTTAAACTCAGCATTAAGTCTAAAAAAGAGAGAAGAAAATGAGGTGTATTGCTAAATGATGCATGAAACCTTTCTGTAAGTATTTTTAGCCTTTAAATTAGATTAAAGCCAATTCAGCCAGTTTTTCAAATATCACATAACTGAATAATTTTCCATGTAATATTCTAGATTTTATGGAAATGAAATTGGTTTTTGGCAACATAATTTATGCAGGTAAATCTGGATTTGTTAGCAGGAATTAGTTAGGTGGCATTTTTAGCAGAGTAGATAGAAAAGAAGAGATGGAAGTATATAGTGTCTGAAGCTAATACATTTATGAGCAGAAAGAATTAATCTACCTTAATTATTCTATTAGTACTCTATGCTTAAAAATGAGATCAGAATTCATCACAGCAATTATGTAATTATTCCATCTTCTTTGATTAAGTTTAATAAAAATATGCCTTCACATATCTACTTAGACTTAAAAGTGCTAATTTTACATAATTTTGCGAGAAATACATGGAGCATATTATCCATCGGAATACTAATTACCAAACTCTTCCTTCCCCAACCTTCTCATCATTGCTGCTTTAAACAACCATTAAAATATATAAACATACAAGAAATTATACAATGGTATAAGATTTGCACACCCTAAATTACTAACAGTGATGAGGATGTGAGCTACATTCTAATCTGAACGGTCCATTGAACATTCCTTGCCTTGGGTCTCTCAGCTCTAGGTTGTGTGCTGGCTTCCACATGTGACTAAGCATCAGAAGAACTTGACCTGCTTTATTTCTCTTGGCGCCACCACATTAGAAATAACATCCACAAGCGCCAGTGAAGAAGTGGGGACCCACAGAACAGGCACTGAAGCAAATGCAACCCGGCCAGCAGAGGCCATGACAGAAGCAAAGCAGAGCAGTCGAACACAGAGAACACAGCTTGTCTTCCAAGACAGTGGTGAACAGGCCCAGGGATGTGGTCCAAAGAGAAAGGCAAAGGGGCCTCTGAGAAGATGGTAGGCTTAGGAGAAAAAAGCAGTACTAAGATAAACCCGGGCTTGAGCACAAGGGAGCTGGCACCTTTTCGCTTTTCACTGCTGTTCAAAATAGGAAACCTGCAGAAATAAATTGACTGTAAGAAAATAAATGGAATTCTATTACCTTCAGTGGTTCCTACCCCCACGAGATGTCCCCCATAAATGAATAGCTAAGCATTTTTAAGAATTTACAAATGCATATTTGTGCTATGGAAAACCACTCTCACACTGGTAGATACAACTTTATGTAGTTTAATTAAAAAGAAGAAGAGAACTTGGCACCTATAAAGTCCATCTGGGTATTTTGAGAGCCACAGAGATGGCTTCTTGTGCCTGAACACACCGCACTGGACTGTAAATCATATCTGTCCAGGGTCAAGGTGCTGTGACACTGCAGAGAAGCACACACTGGCTGTTACCTGTTTACTGTTTTCCAGAAATGACACTGCTTCAGAGAGCAGGTGGACTCTGTTAGTGTATGTGACTAGCTGTCTCTAAAATAACTACTTATGTCAACGTGACTTTCCTTCTGACATTAAAAGAATAAGAATCTGTGATACAAATTTATTTGTGAAGTATATTCTAACACATGGAAAAGTACAGTGTAATTCCTAAATGGAAAGTTGGGAGCTATGATGTTTCTGATATGGAATTAAGAAGGTGGACCTGGTAGAGATGAATTAACTCACCTTCAGCCTGCTATGCAACCCCAACATCTCCACTTACAGGAATCACGTGGAAGACTTGTTAAATCAACTTTCATGTGAAATTACTAATAGTACCCTAGGAGAGGCTAGTCTTTGGAAAGAGATATCCTACTTGGAAAGGTGGAGGATCCGTGAAAGAAGAAAATGCCCAATGAGGCAGACTGACAAGGTGACTGCAGCAATGGGCTCAAGTTTGTCCAAGATGATGAGGACAGCACATGATAGGACAGACAGGGTTCAAGTTTGTTATTCATAGGCTCACTATGAGTCATTGACTCAATGACACCAACCAACAACAACCCTTGTCATGAAAACATTTTCATGTTTGTTACTCAGGTGTCCCAATTAAATATTTCAGAAATTAAGACCCCAATCAAGTCAACCTATATAATTCATGGTCCCTAACTTGTACCGTAAGCATAAGCTTTCCTGTCTCTGTACACCCTGTGAAGAGTCCCATATCTTCACACATTCTACCTACCATCGTGCAAATGTCCCTGAGGCCTGGAACTCTACCCTGATTCAAGCTGGAAGTCACCTTGACCTGCCTAGAACTCACACTACTTGGCGCCGTTTATATGATCCTGCTCACATGCATGCACGTGACACACATTATATCTTATTTGTTCCTCAGCACCTACTGCTGAATAAAGCGGCACCGCGGGAGAAGGACAGTCTCTTCCTGTGCGATTTACAGCAGGGACACATAAGAATTGACTCTGCCTCGATGGTATTAAGTTTAAGGGGTTTTGTTTTGGTTTTTTGATTTATTTTTTGTATTGTATTTGTTTTTAATTTTTTTAATTTTTTTTATGTGTACCGTCAAATCAGATGTGACTGGTACTGGAGGAGATTCCCCCTCCTTCTCCAGCAGAGCATCTGGTGGATTTGAACCGCGTACCTCTGGGATTGCAGTGCAGCGTCTTGCCACTAGGCCACCAGAGCTCCCTGAGTTTAAGGTTTTTAAGGGAGCTCCGGTGGGGTTGTTTGTAGGGAGTTGTGCTGTTAATCCAAAGGCAGAGACTCTCTGAATCCACCAGCAACTATGAGGAAGAAAGATGGTCAGTCCCCTCCTCCCCGGCTTCCCGTCTCAGAAACCCAGTGAAGGGTTAGCGACGAGTTGGTTCCAACCCAACAGCAACGAATTTCTAGAGACTGAATGAGGGGATTACTAAGCAAAGCTTCTAGATGATTTCTAATACAGCACTAAAGATACTGATTATGTGCTTCCTTTCAGCACTCTCTTCAAAGGCGTGCATTCTAAACATACTAATAATGTTGTATAGACGATTGTATTGGCTCCAACTCACTGTGGTCCTGCTCCACTCTGTCATTCTCACAGCCTTTACTGTGCCCAGTCACTGTATCAGTCCGCCTCATTGGGAGCCTACCTTTTTTTTCACTGACCATCATGCCCACCTCCAGGGACTGATTCCACCGGACAATGTGCCCAAAGTATAAGAGACAAGGTTGTATGATCTTTGCTTCTAAGGAGCATTCGGATAAGACTGGGTAATATGCAGGTTGGTATGGTTATAGACATAAGAAGCAGTCTGGATGTACTACTTCCAAGAAATATTTCTTTGTTCTTTTGGCAGTCTTTAAACACCACAGTTTAAAAGCATAAATTCTTTTCTCTTCCTTACTCATTATCCAATTTTTACCTGCATGTCAAATAAACTCACTGCCATTGGGTTGGTTCTGACTCCTAGTCAGGTTTCGGAGGCTGTTAATGACAACAGGAAGCAACTGCCCATCCCCCTCCCAAGACACCACTGGTGGAATTGAACTACCAGAAATACACAACCTTTTGGTTAACAGTGCAACACTTCTGTGGACTATGCCACCAGAGTCCCCCACGTGTGTATAGTTGTTAAGTGCTACGACATTGACTATGACTCCTAGTGAACCTTGTTCTATTCTGTGTCACCCTTGCCACCTCTCTCAAACCCATTGCTCCAGTCACCGCGTCAGCTTATCTGGTCGAGGGTCTTCCTTTCTTTCTGACTCTACCTTTTCCAACATGTTGTCTATTTTCAAGGACGGGTCCCTCCCGAAAATATTCCCAACACATATGAGACAACTTCAGCATCCTTGCCTCTAAGGAGCACCATGGTTACACTTCGATAAACAAAAATCTGGTCCAATTTCCAGCCTGTATCTGGCTTATCAGCTCCTGTAAACCAATTCCTAAAAATAAATTCATATCTACCTACCTAGCTAGCTAGCTAGTAGTCATACTAGTTCTTTTTCTTTGGTCAGTTCTGATTAATAACGTAATACAAAAATAAGTCTAATAATCTATCTGTATTTTATCATTAGAACAAAAATGTGAACTACTACTCTTAATTCTAGAATTAGATTTTAAAGTTTCAAGAGCTAGTCAGTCAAAAATTGTTTGGAAAGTGGAAAGCCATGATTCCAAACCTGTTAAAATATTGTATCTTGCCTTCCCCGCCCCCCCCCCCACACCTGGAATCATGGAGGCTGCCGTGGAGATGAAAAAGAAGGTTCCTGCAGTGCCAGAAACCCTTAAGAAAAAGCGAAGGAATTTTGCAGAATTAAGGGTCAA